ACAGACTGTGCTGTTGAGCAGCAGCTAAATTTCATAAGCTACAGCTTATGAAGTTGATATCGCCAGCAGAATGGTAGTTCTCCAGGACATGCTCTTTGCTTCGGTATCTGCAGTATGAACATTTTAAATCTATCAGCTAATTTTTGTTCTTGTTGTTGAAATATACATAAGAGCTAGTATTCAACTCAAAACTCAGGACTTGATATTCATAATTTTGGTAATTATTCTGCAGTATTATACATCTAACCGATAAATTTCTGTGTCTTACACTGCATTTTCAGCTATATAATGTTAAAATTATCTATAAAATCAATGATTCAGCATTATGCATAGGTAACAGAAAAGAAAGTTTGCCCTGTGGTCTGTCTCTTCTTCCCAGCATACCTTCATCTTTGCTTCCTGCACAAGGGATTCTCTGTTTTTATATGAGGACACAGGTTATATGGACTTTCAAGGAACAGGACTCTTAAATGGACATGAGTTTTTGGAATTGTAGGCTCTATGCATAGAAATACAGCAAGTTTGAGAAGGCTGAGTTGTTCTGTTATTCACTCAAGTACATTCAAGTTGATAGTCTTCCTCCTTACGACCAGATTAGTACAGCCACAAAAGATGACGTTTTTTGACCCTGTGGACTTCTCTGCCAAGAAAAATAGGTACTGACATTTATGACACTGAAAAGTGTTATGAAAAGAGGAGAAAAACATTACTCCTTTGCAAATGTCAGGCCAACCTTCTGCTAATACAGTTACATACTTTTAATTTCTAAGATCTTATGGGCTCAAACAGAAATGAGGCCAAGAAGTGAAAGAGAACCTCTAAAGAAATGAAAGAGAAGGCTTGATTACTGAAGGAATCATATTAAACACTACATCACAGGTAACCCCAAATAAAATGGTATATCAATGCTTCTGCATTTTCAATTCTTTTAGTTTATGAAAAGAAGGACTTCAAGAGATTTAATGTCTCTATCTGAGGGAAATGTGTCCTGGAAAAGGTCTATCCTGCTCTTGAAAAACTGTAATTATAAGGACTACATGGCAAGAGTTTTAACCATTTAACTGCTAGAATAAAGACATTAGCATCAGCATAAACCGATTTATTTCAGCATGGAGTATTCCATGTGCAAGCAAGGGATCGGCAGCTTATTCATCAGAAGGAATACTTACATAGATAGTGTGGCCTGGAGAGCCAGGTATACTGGAACCCGGTCTGGAATAAATGCTTTCTGATGATGTTCTTGTAGGCTGAAAAACAAGAAGTAACTTTTCAGAACATCCTGAAGCCATTAACATCGGTAATTTTGATTTTACGTGAAGAAATCTGCATACATCTTGAAATTAACTGAATTTAGGAAAAAATGTCAACATAAATGCAAGCATTTTGGCAAAGTCACAATCTTGTGAGACAAGTGGGCTGGGTTTTTTTGGTGGGGGAAGGAGTACTGTGAGATGGGAAAGAGGTTTTCTAAAACCATACAGTGTAAAAGACTGACAACAATGAATGAAATCAAACAAAACCTGCCAGAGACATTGCAAGTAGCCATACAAAGTACAATCCACCACAGTCCTGCTGGTTGTTTTATCAAAACGTTAGTTCACAAATAGCTCCAGGTATCAGCAGTTCAGCACACAAAATCGTTGAGAGGAGCACAGACACACATTATCACTCTCCAGATGTTCCATCACTGGATTTCCATTATCAATCAGAACTGAATTGAGTCCTTCTAAGAAGAAGGACCTGAAATCCTTGGCTTGGAGCCATCCCACACATCTGCAGCACTATCTAGATGCAACATGAAAATTAAACTGCTGATTGAAATGTGATGATTCCCCTTACTGCAAAAGTCTTGATGTTTAATGACAATGCCCTGCAAACTGGTGCCTGGGAACTTGACAAATTTGAGAAACATCTATTTGATCAGAAGTCCCCCAGGATATTGTGACAATTACTCCTAAACTTGACATGCAGCACACACACAAAGCTAGTCAACAATATCCCACTCACAACTGAGAAACCATGAACAATTTTTGCTCCCTAACTGACTGCAAAGACCCAAATCTCGTCACAAAGCAATGTGTCAGCACGTGACTCTGGTGACACTAGTGCAGTGGGAGACTTCCAAGTCACTGAAAATTAAATCTTATCTCGCCAGCTTGTGGCATTGAACTTAACGACCTTCAGGCACACACTAAAGAGAAACAAGGCTTGATAGCATGGCTCGCTGACTTTTCTTAGGAAATATCTGGAGTGAATACAACGAGGCTACTGGACCTTTCTTATCTCTCAGTATACCTTTCCTAAAAGGATTCTTCAACAGATCTCAGAGTCTTTCTACCTTTTATTTCATAGCCAGAAAAGCTACTGGAACCATCCTTATAAAAAATGCTGAAGCCTAGTTGTGGATCATACAGTAGGCTTTCTCTGATTTTATTTGTGGAAATGAAATCACATTCAGGAAGAATCAAAGGAATAAAAGGCTTTGAACACATTCCACCAAAATTCTTGAAGACTCAGATCAAACAGAGAGCAGATGTGGCCGTGGACTGACACAGTCACAAGTCCTCTCCAGAGCATGTCTGAGAACACTTTCTTGGTTGGACCTATACATGTTTCTGCCCTTTTCTCTTTGTAGCTACAAATCCCAATATTCCAAAGAGGAACACAAATTTCTCAGCTGCCCTTAGGCTCCTCCCATGATGCAATCAAAGCAAAAAAATCCAACAACAACCACTTGGTTCATGGAAATGTTACAGGAATTAAGCTGGAAAATCTGGCTGTTGTTGAGAAACACTTTATTCCCCCTTCCATTCTGCCAGTTCACATCACAGCCTGTTTGAGTGGAGATATGTGTAATATGTTGCTGCAGTTTCCATGGAAAAAAATTGTTTTCATTACAACACAGGGAACAGTATTAAGTAGTTGAGGTACCATTAGGGGTGTCTCTGTTACCTTCGGCTTTTGGCAGACATACTTTAAGAGTTTTGTCTGCTCGATTCTCTCTGTTGTAGAAAAACAAGCGTTAGAGGCAGTTATGGCTTCTTCCCACCTGGCAGACTCTCTGGGTTGTCTTCACTCTGGATCTTTTATAATCACTTCAGAAAACAGAAAACAAGAAATTCTCAGCCCTTGGTCCATCTCTTTAGCCTCATCTGCTAAAAACCTTTGCAGTAAAGGAGAATTCACTTGTATTTATCACTCCGGTGAATTTATCAAATAAGGAGATAGTTTCAGCCAGATCCTGCTAATAAGTTTCTTAGGTGCTCTTAACCCTGGAGTACAGGAGCACTGTCAGATGGAATGGCAAGCTGTAGCACCTGTTCTTCATTTCCTCACCATGTCTTTGCTCCAAGTTCCTTTTTACCATCCCATTAACAGGGCCATGAGCCAGATATGACAGATACAAACTTTATAAGTAGTTTTCTACTTTCTGTAATTCTTTCTGCGTATATCAATTTTACTTGCCATCTATTGCAAAGCTCCACATTCCCTGGGCAGGATGCCATCCGGCCAGCCACCACCTGAGGACACACTGTTCTTCTCCTGAGGAGCATAGCACAAGCAGACCTCGAACTCCGTGGGTCCTCTGTTCACTCCCAGTCCTCTATCTTGCTGAAGTTTACGACACAGCCCTGAAGACAGTGCAGACTTCTAAATCTACTCTCTCACCCTTCCTGCCACACTTTGCCCTATTTCTTGTTTTGAATTACACAGGCAGTTCCCATTGCAGATGGTTATTTCCTACTCTGCTGCTCCCATATGGTCTGGAATCCTTCACAGCTTTGCACTTTTCCCTAAAGACAATTGCATTGCACTTAAAAACAGTTGTGCTTCTTGCCTTAAAACAAATATACACTTAAGATTCCTTGATATAAGCTGTTCCTTTTAGTTACTGTGGTTGGCTCCTCTCCTAACATACTTGTAATAGTTCCTGACTGAAAATCTGCGATGGGGTACGGCTTTTATTAGATTGTACGTCACTCCTTCATTAGAAGCTGAGAATCCCTGACCCTGTGTATCACTACTGTGACTTTGTACCCTAAACAGATGACAAGAGACACACTGGAGTGCAAGTGTTCCATATATGTAACTGCAAAGTGGTGTAAATTCCACCCTAGAGGAGAGCTGATCAGAGTACAGGTGAAATAGGAATAGCTGCTATCCCTGATTTAACATTTAACCTTTAACGTCCAGTGGAGACATCATGTGAGCATCTCTTGCATGCATTATTTGAAGAAGATGGGTAAAGAAATTAGAGGAAACATCCGTTAATTTGAATGCATTAATTTAGAGGTAGTTCCTTCTATCACAATAGTCCCGTGATACTTGTTCTACATTCCCAGCAACAAAACAAGCTTCCTTATTTCTTCAAACAAAATCACAGAATCACAGATCACTCTCTATATGACTGGTCTTGTTCTTGAAGGATTCCAATAGAGCTTTTCATAATGCAATCATTGTGCAGAGAAATTTAAAGCAAATTTCTATAAACATCAATAATCTTTGTTCTTCTCTTGTGGTGCATGGCCATTTCCCATTTTTCTGACAGTAGAGGAGTCATCTTCTTTTTCTTTCCTCTTCCACCCATATGAATATAACAGTAATAAATATATCAATTTATTTGTACCACATACAGTAAGTCTATAATTATATGAAAAAAATCAGGAGAAATTCAGTCAATAGAAATACATGCATGTCATTAAAGGAGCCAAAGGAAAGAACTAGATCACAAGGCATCTAAGGTATTTGCAAGACTTGTCAATATTTCCCACTTTACCACAGACTTCTCATTTTTACGGTTCCATGCATTTGTCTTCTATTTAAAAGCTCTTTACCGACTTTATTTGCAGATTGGCAGAGGTAACTCCATCTGTCATGCTAATCCTATCAGCTTCACTGTGAACTTCAGCGCTCAATTACTGTATGACCCATGCATATGCCCCAAATTGTTTAACTTTTTATTTTAATGTGAGATTGCAAAGCTTAAAATGTTCATCTGCATTTACCTCAGTTTGTCACATCATCATGCATGGCACATCATCTAAATAAATACCTTCTTTAAAAAAAAAAAAAAGAAAAATCCACGCTAGAGCCGTTCACATCATCCAGATGATGCTACAGCGTGGTGGCTCTGGCCTTCTTGAGTACAGATGTTCAGAATCATGCTCTATAAAAACTTACAAGTGCAGGCAACCAGATCAGAACTGATCCCAAGAACATCTGGCCAAATGGATGCACTATTGTTTAACAAAGGCATCCTCAGCATTGTTTACAGTACCTGCCTTAGTTTTTTGATAGAGTTCATTATACAAGGCGGTGATAATAGCTGCAGAAGAATGAATATGTTTTCACTTAATAACATTTAATATTACAGCTTAAACAAATTCTCTAAACTTCAGAAGCTACTTTAAGGGAAGTACGTATATAAATAAGCTAACTGAAGATCAAGATGTAATTTATTCTACAAGGCAGACGCAATTTTGCAATAGCAAGGAATTTGGCTTTCTTAGTACTTGAACTACCTCCTTCATCAACTGCAAGATTTTACAGTTATTTAGGACTTGGAACCAGGCTTCATTAAACACAGGCTTCATATGGATTGCAGTAATTTTCAGTGGCCGTGTACAGGACCAATAAACCCCCTCAGTGTCACAGAATCCACTGTGCCTGTCTGCTAGTTTAACTGTACCCTTCTTATAAGAGTGTTTCTTTTAAATGCATACATTCATTACTCCTCTGCCTAAAAAGTCTACACTATGTATGCACCAAGATAGAACCAGTGAATAGGTTTAGTTCGAACTCACACAGACACATACATTAACAGGTTACAGCTGTTTTTTTCTTTCCTTTCTACACACAAGGGCCAGAGAAGGGAATGAATTTTCAGCGCATAATCCCTGAATGCACGTTGCTACCAAACAATGTTTTACGAGACTACTCATGCAAATGTAGCCTTCACCAAGAGTAAGGGGAAAGGAGAAGAAAATAAGATGAGAAGTCCAGAACATACTGAATTCAACAGCAAACTTCTCAGAGAATTCACAGGATTTCACTCTAGAATTTTGAACCTAAAAATTTCATGTAGATTCAACCTTTTATAGCAAAGAGCAATTACAGTATCTTTGTGTCCACTCTGGAGGAGAACCCATGAAGCCAAAATCTGCTTTGCATTACAGTTTGTATAATCAGCACGTACATCTAAACAGAATTTAATACTGACCAAATTTACACAAGAGGAGATTCACCTGACCTGAAGGTATTTGTACTCTACACAGTCTACAAAGTGAGGAAGAGAACATACCTTTATGTTGTTGTGGACTGCTCCTATTTTGCATTGCATATTTTCCTAACATATTGCACAGGATTTCAGCACTGGAAACTCAAGACTCATGCAGGCTAAGCTGAATGCAAAAAGCCACCACTCTGGCCTAAATGTGTGAAATGGCCTAAATGAGTGACACAATCCCACATTTTGCTGTTCTCAGGCTCCACCATTCTATTCCATAAAGCCTAGGACAGCAGAGACATCTTTATAGCTATATTTTCTTGATGCATATTTCTGTGGCTAACACAGAGCAGCATCCAAGAGTGATTCATGCACAGCAACATCCTAAGGTAACCGATGAAAGGATGAAGGGCACAGGGCTTCGCTAACTTCCACTGAAGCACTGAATCAGCCGCGTGACACCATCCTGCAGATCACGTCTAACACACACAACCTGCCCTGGCTGGTAACAAGACTATGTCTACCGTGCAGTTAGAGGCATGAAAGCAGCACGAGCAGACATAGTAGGACTCCGGGGGCATGGGCTCTCTCAGCCTGGCTGCCCACCGCCAGGCTGTGCTAGGTCCATACATTCTTACTCCGTTACCAGGTGAAAGTCACCCCAGATGTGCCTGCAGCGGCATGGCCACGTCCCTCCACAGCAGACACAACCCAATAGAGCACTGCCCTGAAGGAGAAGAAATGCAAGTGCGTGGTGTCTGTAGGTGCAAAGCAAACTCAAGGAAGTCTGAAAGTAGACAGGTAGTCCAGAATCAAGAGGACAGGGAGGACCTCCCAACTCAGACATGGATGTGCCGCAGACTAGAGAGATGCAAATGCTCTTGGGCAGCAAATAGAACATGGCAAAACCTGGAATTCTGTAAATAATTTCTCAGCTAAAGTCTTCATTTGTAGGTTGGTCAACACGTATAAAAATGGAAGTGATTTAACTGATATCACCTTTTTTCTAAAAAGCAGGAGCCATTGTCCATGAAACATTATTTCTTTTTAATCATTGCTTTCCCTCGTTTTCATTTGCTTAATATTTGCACTTTAACTTTTTGGTTTAGAAGAATAACTTTCTATAACATTGGAAGAACAATACTACAGGCCTCGAAAGCTCATCTGAATCTAAAAAATAAATAATTATTTTTAACCATTTCATTAAACAAAACAAAGAATGCGAGAATTAACAAACAACACTGCACCACATGATGCAAAATACAGTGTCAGTGCCCATGATGGCAAGTGATGGCAGGAAAGCTGTGTGGCAGACGTAGTAGCAAGCGCAGCGCATGACAAAAACGAAGAATCTTCTCAGTAAAGAAGACCATTATCAACACTATGAAAACACAACAGCAAACCTCTGCAGAGCGTGGCCTGCGCAGAACCAGACTCTTTGGATAAAAGAACTCAGATGAGGAATGCTGTCACGAAACACAAAAGGAAAAAATGAGTGAAAAAGAAAGCAGTTTCCCCAGCTCAGTGGTTAAGCCCTTTTTTCAATGAAGTTACTAATATCTACTTGCTAGATAATCAGTGTGTTATAATACCTACGTTACTTACTGATCCCTGCAGACTCCTAGACAGCCAGATAGTTGTAAAAAAAAGAACCCTAAGCAATGTATATTTTTGTAACGTAGATATGGTTGCTTTATTTTCTGCTTGTTTTGGCTTTGTAATCCTCCCCAAACATTCAGTGGGGGGAAGATCTAAAGCAACCACTGTTTTTATGAACTCCTTCTCAGATCCTGACCAGCTAGAATGTTGATTAGTTTATATCACAACTCAGTTACTGAGAGAAAACAGAACTTGCTGAAAACTTCTGAAGTGACTTCAGTGATAAAAGAGCTTTGGGGTTTGTTTTGCTCTAGGGGGAAAGGAAACCCAGCAGAGCAAGTAAGCCGCGTCACTGGCTTTTTGCAGAACCACCAGAGAATCTAGGCCTGAGCCTGAAAGCAGCTATATCACATATTTGTCAACTCATAAACCAGATTCTCAGATCTAAACATTTGTCATAAGAAACTGAAAATCAGTAGAAGTACAGTTCATAATTTAGGGGTGACATCTTCAAACAGCTCATAGTTACCCCAGTTTCATTTGTTTCTGTACCTACCTGTTTGCTCCTGCCTTCATTTGAGTCAGCAGAATAAAACATGTCAAAGTCATCAACGTGAACTCAAACGGATTTTAAAATAAGGCGCCTGACTTTGCACTGGAGTAGACAGAGGCTACCTGCGATGTACAGCTGAAGCTAAAATTTCTCCACGTCTCCAGCTAGCTCCAGTACAGTGCATTTTCCAATGCCTTTCAAAGAGACACTAAACCTCTGCGTAGAAGCTTGCAGCCAGGAACAAGGTCACCCTGGACAGCTGTGCCATAACATTCCTCAGATGTTCCCTTAACGCTCACTCTTGCGCTTCACTTCATTTTCCTGCAAGAACTCACTTAGGCAAAGTCTTGCAGGTGGATGAATTCATTTACTTCACTCACTTGAATTCAAATCAGCTGAGGGGGAAGAGGACTGACATGTTTGAATGTGTGACAGAAAAAAAGGAAAATATTTGAAGAGGACTTGGCAACTTCCATGGGGAATAGAAATAAGCCAGCTAATTTATAAGGTCAGCTGGAGAAGGTTCATACGGGCTTCAATGCAGTCAGGAATTCTTTGATAAGATTCTTAGGTCCAAGTGAAAGGGAGGTATTGTACCCCAGTCAGTCACTGCAAAGCACAAGCATTCTGACACTTAAGCAGGGCCAAAACACTGTCTTACATTCAAATTATTAAATGAGGAACAAAATTTAGTCCAGCATATGTTTCCATTTTCTTATGAAAAGTGAGGATAGAACTACGTGCAAGTGCTGGATGGCACCTACAGCGATGTTTGGCCATTCCAGATTACAAGCCCATCTAGGGCCAATTATACTTCTGTATTATCGGGAGAGCCCACACTAACATGAATGCTGCTCAACAAAAATCTACCTGCATGTTACCTACGATCATAGTAAATTCTCTGCATCTCTGTAAATGTTTGACACACCAGTGCACCTGCATAAATTCTGATGGACATGCCTTCCTCTGAACAAGCCACACACAGGACACTACCCACAGGATATCCTAAATATCTCCATGCCAGCACCTCTTAGTTTCCTCATCTGAAAGACATTTTATTCATACACAGTCTCTAATATTCATATCCAGAAAAACTAGCAAAGTTCAAAGGACCAACTGAACATTAAAAAGAGTAAATTGTCCAGGTGAATTAGAGAATATGGGCCTAGAATTGCCTGATGCATGCAAAAAGCCAGGCTCCAGCATTTACCAGCGCAGCATTAACACCATCAAGGATTTGATCTGAAAGTTTGTCTGGATATGTTGAGGTGACCCCAAGTGCAACTGCAGCTCTTCTTGGCATTCAAATTAAGATCACTTTAGGCTGAGGTTTATTTGGATGGCAAAGGAAGAAGAGTCTGTATTGTCTCAATGCCGTAAATAACCATGCAGAACAGGGGATAACTACAAAGCAATTATACAGATGTTCAAAAATATTAAAATATGACATAGCATTTGTCGTGTTCACACGACTCCTTCAGCGTCTCTCTCCCAATAATTAAGATATGAAATGAAGTGTCTTAGAGACTTTGACATGTCTGTATGCCAGTAAATAACACTATCTTAAAGGCAGTGCACTGAGACAGATATGTGAAGGCGGTGAGCCTAAAAATCAGAGCAATACCTCTGAAGTGCCTCCACTGTTTATTCTGCCAGAGTGGTGACAGCTATGTGAAAAAAACATGGAAGAAATCACTCATTTAATTAAAGCAACATTCAGTTACTGTTTAAGAAAAATATCTGGTGTGTCACTGGGACAAATTCAGCTTACCCTTAGTTTATCTTCAGTCTTAGTGGATTGCTTACAGTCGGGATGCCAGACAGTGGAACCTGAGGGAGGAAAAAACTCGATCTTTATTTAGAGCAAAGCTGATGACTTCCCACATGACAAGTCAGTTATTAAAAAGAATCCCTTCATTGCATTCTATGGTGAATCTGCATGAGCTATGCAAGTAATTCACATTCAATTCCAGCTCATGAGAAATACAAGTGAAACAAAAAGAAATATCCAAATCCTTGGCCCATTTACAGCAGCCTCTTCCTGAGGCTGTCAAAACACTTTGAACACATTCTTAATTAAAAACTGGAACAGCCTCAGGCAGCAAGGGAGTCAGCAAACACCAGCTGGAGGAACTGAAAGACAGAGATTCCTCTGGGCAGGAGGGAGGGTAAGAGCAAAAGAACCGAGCCATAGTTACCTCACCTGTTCTCCTCTTACAGACGTACTCAGAACTTCCTTTTTACAAGTCCACTAAAATAGGGAAAGTCCTATGACTTCCTTGCACAATAGGTGTCATATTCTGTTACTGTAAAGTATTACTCAGATCACCTCTTCCCTACAATTATGCAAAACGCCGTTTAGCTCAGTCGGTTAGAGCGTGGTGCTGATAACACCAAGGTCGTGGGTTCAATCCCTTCTCTGTCCCCATGTGTTGCCTGATCTAGTTGAGAGGCATCCCTGCCCATAACAGGGAGGTTGGATTAAATGATCTCTAAGGTCCCTTCCAGCCTAGGCCATTCTATGATTCTATGATTCACGGTGCAGCAGAGTCAGGGCTCTATCTCAGCCACTGCACTAAGCTAGTGAGGCCAGTATGACACAGTGGGAACAAAGCAGCCCGTGAAAGAGCCTCTCCCTAGATGACAGGGGACTGTACCTGCCATTGGCACACACGTCATTTCTAGCCCTTGCTCTGCAAAGTCAGTGGCATGTGTTGCACTGGTATTTCCCCACGGCATATGCCAGCTACATGCCCTACTAAAAAAGGTAAGGTCTCTGCTGTCGGTGTCCCAAAACACGGGTTTTCCCTCTCATGCTGTAAAAATGGAAATGGCTGACCTCAAGAGCTGAGCACTGTTGGAGGAAGGAGCATTTCTATTCCATTTCAGTTCACCTTTGGAACATAGTGTAAACTGTGGTCACCACTGGGACACTGCAAGTAGATATTAGCCAACTTGAAATGAAGCAAAAGCTAAAGTTGATTTGTAACACTGACCGCAGCTGCAGTCAAACCCAAACTTCATTCCATTCACCAAAAAGCCAACACAGAGCCTTGTCTGTCTGCAGGGGGGGAAAGTCACCTCTCCACTCTGTCCACAAAGAAACCAAACAGAGCAAAGTCCAGGTCTCCTGCTGCTGCCTGCTAACTCAAGTGCAGTCAGAGGAAACCCCACCCTCAGAGCCCAGGAGAGGTATGGGTCAGGGCCCCTGGAAATTTTGTTCTAACAAGCCCTTACATGGCTCGGCACAGAAGTAAAGACCAGCAGGAAAGATTTCACTTCCCAGCAGCACACAGTGCAATCATCATCAGGAGACTGGAGAGAACGCTGTGACTCTGGACCAAGGGTCTGAGATGTTTGGCTTTGAGTCTAAGCCGAGGAAGAAGAAACTGTGCATTTGGCAGGGGGAAACGATCAGAAGACAGGGAGAAGTGTACCAACAGCCTTCTCTGTAAACAAGCGGCAGCCTCAGAGCCAGGACCCCACAGAGCCTGCGAGATCAGGAGAGAAGCATTTGCTTGGGAGGTCAAACAGAGCCAAGCGCTCAGGAGGAACAGAGTTCTTCTTGTAAGGCTGGGGAACGTGAAGACTCAGAAGGGTTAGTTCAGCTCTAAACTCAGCTGTGAGCTTCTGATCCTGAGAAAAATCATCTCTGTTCCTCTGTATCTCAATTTCTTATCTGTTAAGCTATGCCCACCATCAAAGAAAAAGCTGTCATTGCATTTTTGGGCAGTATTTAGCACAAACTGGCACACCCCAGAAGAATACTGCAGTGAACAAGAAATGCAAGAGAGTCTGGATGTCATTTTCATGGTGAAACTTAGCTAATGGTTGTGAGCTTTTCACAAAATGATAAGAGATTTGAAATATGCAAGATTTAAACACACAAATCAGATAAAGCAGGCTTAAGAAGTTAAATGTAAATATTTTTTTCAGTATCTTGAACTCTGAGCCACCTACAGCTTGTAGATTTTATTAACCCAAACACGCCAATCTATTTTGAAATGCTTGGAACGGTGCAAATTCTCAAGCTGCATCGCCCCTCTTTTTCCTAGAGGAAATAGTTCAGCGAACTGTAGTTATTCCCATTCTTAACATATGTTTGTCTGCTTACTTGGTAGACACCAATCAACATTATTATTTATTCAGCTTTTTACTTTGCACATACCATTGTTTTAACATACAGTTCTCTAAAAATCAGTAACTCAGACTATTATTAACACACTGGATAAGTCTGAAAGCCTGTGTGAGAATAAAGCATTCCTCCAAATGCTGAGCAACATCCCAGCTCAGCAACAGTCTTCTGGGGCAGTCCATATACTAATATATTACTAGGAACTCCATGGGAAAGTGAAAGTTTCTGATGCTGCTTCCTTTTAGTTTTCCAGTGTTGGAGCAGGGCAAAGCCAGAGTGTTTCTGCTAGCATTATTCAAGCCATCCTTAACATAGAAAGCCTCCAAATAGACAGCTTGTTTTCCACATTCTTCTTTTGCAGGTTTCCCACACATTTTGCATGCAAACCTGTCAGGTTCCTCTATTATACAAAGCAATACTGACACAGTGCTTTCAGATCCTGTGGAGAAGACAATGACAAGTGAGATGGAAGCTGCCTAGTTTCATATATTTTATCAGTAATGTGGTTGTGTGGCCTTGTGTTTTTATTTCAGAGGAATGCTTGGAATGCTGTTATCCTGCACCCTAGGGTAAACAACTTGGATAGAGTTAGGATATACATTCCAGCTGAGAGCTAAGCCCCTTAAAAGGGGCTTTTAAGTCTCTTACACTTAAGAGCATGCTGAATTCAGCGAGGAAAGGTTTGGCAGGACAGTTTGGAGCACACTCAGCAATAACATTGTCTAGTCAGAAAAACAGCCTGTGAACAATAAAGCAATGCAACTTGGGCTGCTCCTCCTCTGAGACAGAGACAACACGAATTCACAACCACAGAAAGGGAGATACAGCCAGGAAGAGAACAATGGCAGATCAAGGAGCCAGGTGTCTCTCCGTCCCTCTCTCATATCACCTGAACTTGGCCAGGAAAAAATCCAGCCTTGTTCAAATAGAAACAGCACCTTCTGTCTTTTTTGGATCTGCAGAAGTTTACATCACAGCCTGCCCAGTCAACACGCAAAGGATGAGCTGATGCTCGCCTTGAACTCTGCCTGGAGTTACCAGTTGTCAGATGTGGTAACCACCACTTCCAAATCAGTCTTTCCAACTGGCCATCAGAAAGCAGTGCTTCCTCCCCAGCCCTCTTGCAGCCTCTCCTTGCTCTTGCAATGCCGAGCTGCTACACAACCCAACACCCAGCTCTGCACACTCCTGGAGTAAGATGGCTGAGGTATAAGGTCAGTGGGAGATGAAAGAGATGGACTCGCAAAGGAGGACAAACTACAAAGTAACACAATTTAACTTCAAAGGAATTCCTTAACAATACTATCTTAATTTTGGAATTTCTCCAGAAGGAATATCTCCTCAGAATTTCAAGAGATGTCTGCCACCACACTTTCTTTCCTACTCTTTTATGGTCCTTTCAGGTATATCAAGCAAGTTTTCTAACATAGGTACAATATACAAAATCCCAACATGTATCTGTCTTCTTCACTCTCACTTCTAATTTGCATAAATGTGTATTATACATGTTTTTACCCATGTTAATTAATACTACAGCAGGTATTAAAAATAACTGTAGCTTAATAGTTAATGTGATGCCTTCTGGGAGAACATGTGGAATTCAGATAAAGGATACTTTTCAATCAAAGAAAAGAGCATGATCTTTTTTATGTGGAAAGGTCATGGAAAAAAACATTCGGCAACATCTGGGAGTGCGAGACCATAAATAAGAAAGAGGAGATGAAAATGAACATAGAAGAAAGAAGTGAATTTAGAAAGACATAAAAATAAAGCAAATGTGAATGAAAAGAAGGACCAGATTAAAAAGAAACAGGCAAGGCAAGTAAATACGACTAAGAACTGGAGGAGACTCTGTCAATGAACATAGGGAATCAGATCTCCTTGATTCAAAACAAGCTCGCTGCAGCCTCTGGAAGTTTCTCCATTACCTTTTACAGTCTGAAGCGTGGCACAAAAACTGATCAGCAGAATTCAGGAGAAACCCTCTCACTTTTTCTGGTATCTCATATACCAGTCTGTGTGCTAAGCTATCCATGAGATGCCAAACTTAAAGGCAGCCTAATGAATTATATTTTTGCTACACAGATTTTGGTAACACAGCCTGCCTCAGCTAGAGTGTAGAGTCACTGCAACACCACTGTTACGGCCACCTACTAGAGTGAAATGGTTTCAACTACGAGAACACTACCGAAGACAGATGGCTGTAGTCCTTCTTGCCCCTATTACATAGGGATGGTCTATAAACTCTTGAGGTCTGTGACAGAAAAACTATCAAGCCTGATTTTCTTGGTTTGGAATTATGTCATCCTTACCTTGCAGATACATTTCTTCTCCTTCCGTGAACATTTGGTTGCACCTGCTGCATCGTGCACAGCTTGGATGATAATGCTTGTCACCTGCCTGAAGAAAAATGAAAAAGGGAAGTAAGAGACTAACGCCTTGCATCGCTTCGTGAGCAGTCATTATTTGCTGACAGACCACTGCCACTTTTCTTCCAGTTCATCCATCATGATGCAACATGACCCTCATGATGTGATAATAGTGACGAGAACGTAAGATCTGCCACACTGCTTCAGTCCAGAGGTCTATCTAGTCCAGTATCCCGACCTCAGCAGTGGCCAGCAGTGGCTACTTAGGGCAAAAGGCTAAGTAAGGCTAGTAAGAAACAAGACAATACAGAACAGCCTTTCCTCTTCACACTTTCCCTTTCAAGTAATCAGTGGTTTAAAGACTTCCTTGATAGAGGCCACGTCAAAATCTATTTTCCCTGATTTGCCCAACACCTTTTTAAATCTCCATCTATCTAACAGTCCAAGGCAATGGATGTCACACTGCAGCTAGATATTTGTGTAAACCCGTTGCCTCCTCATTTTGTCAAACAGCATCTGTTCTCTCAGTTGCTCCATCGTTATGGATGAATTTAGACAAAGAACGACAGTTTTCAACCTGCCATTTCATTTCTTGGCCTACTTCTCAACATTGCTATAGGCATTAATAGAGCTTTCTAGAGCTACTTCTGGGACCATTAACTTAATTCACGTCTGATGTCTGACTTCAGAAGCTACACTAGCACAGACAGCTTGAGCTGAATTTGAGCTATTGATGCTAAATACGCTAGATCCTGTTACCCAAATCCAAATCCACTGAGCCACTCATTCTCTTAAACACATTGATACCCATAATAAACAAAGCTGATTAGATTTCAGGTCTATAAGGACAGGAAAAAAGTCAAGGTACAGATATTCATGTGATTTCTTCTCTTTAGGAGACCAAAGCCTATATCAACTTCCTTGCATCAGAAACTAAGCATGCAATGTCCAGATCAGGTTTTTTCAATTGTAAAATATTTATTCCTAGAAAACAACCCTTAACAGTGATAAGTAGTGAATTATAAAAGCAGCTTTCCAATCAAGCGAACCTCAAATTCTTTTTCACAAAATATTTCCGATCCACTGAGAGGTTACATGCACAAAATATGTTTACTCTGTAGCCGACTTGTCAAATGTCATTAAACTCACTTTCTACTTCATTATACTTGAGTCTATAAGATTATTAAATTCAACCTTTGCTGAAGTCTATTGAGATGAGTAACAATTTGCTCACATTTGACACTGATTATAAAGGCTTATTAATTAGAATTATTTACATGAGACGATGAAGTATATGCACCTGACAACTACCAGAACACCAGCTCAACCATCCAGCCCTTCCACAGTTAACGTCACACCACTTAATTTTAATGTTCTCATTTGTTCCTGCCTCAGTAGTGTAGCACCTGAGTGCTGTTTGCAGACATGACTATTTATCTTTCATTACCACTAATTCCTCTCCAGCAATTTCAGCAGTACACGGCCAGGGAGGAGGTCTCTGCTGTTAGTTGAGCCCATACACTCACTCTTCAGTTGCAAAACCCCCCACACTTCTCTTACCCAGACACTTTGCTGCTCCTTAGAGGGCAAAAAGGGGGTCTGGTGAAAGAGAGAGCGAAAAGTCATTACAGGATAAGCCTACTCGAGGAAGAAAAGCTAATGAGGGGAGAAACACAGAATTCACACTTGACTTGCAGCAACAAAACCAATAGAAAGGAAAAGAAGGAAAGAAGAAGGAAAAACGCAGTTAATGCTCATTCTTTTTCTATCATTTTCATTATTGGCTGTCCCCTTCATCTCTGACTGTCTCTAGCAATTATTTAACCCCTGAGGTGTCCCATCGGTTCCATTCAAGACTGGAAGAAAAACAACAACAAAAAAAGAAACTCTGAATGTATCTCAGATGAAATGCTGGCATCAAACTAGAGCTATTCTGATCTTGAATGCAGATATGCAAAGAACAGCTACTTACATACACGCACACATATATCAATATATATATATGCATCTTAGGGCTGTGAATACTGAGCAGAGTTCATAGGTAGATCTCTGATGCAGGCAGCTCAGCACTCAGAAGATGCAGACACTTTTTTTCACTTTCTGCCTTACACAAACAATATTATACATACAGAAGAACAGCAATTTTATCTGTGTTCGGTAAAAAAAAGAAATAATCCAACCTTTTGATAATTTCCTAAAGTTCTTCAGCAGAGTGGGGCCCACAGAGCTGCTTGTCACAAGTGATTTCAAACGTATTAGATGATGGCAAATCTGATGTCCTGGGAACTGCTCCCAGTTAATGAGATATAAAAAATTCCTAAGAAGGCTGAATCACTGCCAGAAATTGCCTTCTCCAAACAGGAAGACAGTAACTGAAAAATAAATTTGAAATAATAAAACAGGAATCTCGTCTGGGCTATGCCTGTCTCATCCAACTAAAGAATATATCTGCAGAATAATTGTGCCACAGCTTAACAGAGCTCAAATTTTCCATAGGCACATAGATTTTTCTGAAATAAAATTCACAGCTTCTGTGAATTTAGTAGGGTAGCTAAGTAGCTACACAGTCTGAACGGGAAAGACTACAGGGCCTGTTATATTATTATTATTATTAATTAACCTCTGAGATAGCCCATCTGAGGTGGGATTGTGTCCTGTGAGATGTTTAACAAATTCCCAGACACAGAGGCCTGAAACATTTGGACATAAGTATTATCAGATGAAGTAGGTTTTATAAAGAAATAATTCCTACCAAGCACCCTGATGCTCAGCTAAGGCAAGGTAGTTTAAAGAAGGGCAGTTAGGATTCAGCAGAGATATCTGTATTGTGAGAGGACCATGACATATGGACAAAGAAAATCACACACTCACACCTGTACAGTTTCAACTTTTCTATTCTTCCAGCCTGACCTTAAAGGTATGGTGGCTTTATTTTGAGGGTTTTTTGTGGTTTTTGGTTGGTTGGTTTTGTGGGGGGTTTTTTGGTGTTTCAGGTTCTTTTTGTTATTGGTTAGAAACAAGCAAGGCATATAGCACCCATGTTTTAATCAAATGCTGCATTTCACTGTCATAAGCAAAAGGTGCCAGTTCTTTGGGTTTTGCGTAGCTACTCTGGCAGTCCTACCCCAGGCTCATTTTTGCAGTTAATTCACAGTAACTGGTGTTTTACTTCTATTAGCTTGATTCATATTGTCCTAAAAGGGTCTGCATCTAGTCCTCGTGGTGCTAACACCAATGAGTCTTCCACTTGCTGTGATCATGTCATAAACATTCCACTTATTCTTCTCCTCATCACAAAGCTTTTCCTGAGGCTCCTTTAGAAAAGGGGGCCTGGATTACAGTAGTCATCTGTTAGTTGCTATAAGCAGTTTACATGCTTTTAAAAGACAGGCTATTTACAAGAAAAACAAATCCAGAATTCATCACAATATTATATATGGCCACTCTGAAGACTTTTTTTCCTGGAAAAACTTCTGATATGCTACTCAATTATGTACATATCTCTTCAAAACAGCCAGAGACTGATTTCGAGTTTATCAACTCTCTCCCCACGGCTGAAACAACTGGCCAAATTCTAGCCTTGTGCGAGTGGTGATGAATGAACACCACGCCCCAGATAACACAACCTTGCTAACTCAAAGTGCTAACACATCCTGCACTGGCAAGGTTTTGAGGGAGTTACATACCAGAGCAGCTGCAGTTGTTGCTGAAGGTTTCCAAACCAGTTTCATGAGTTTTCTGCCTCAGTAATGTTTCTATGACTCAGTAGTGGAAGCCTTTTTTCAGTGGGTATCCACTGGAAAACAGTCTGCACTAGCTCAAGGCTAATCTCGCTATGCCTGATTTGCTGTGATCATCTGGTTGCTAAAAATCAGCCATTCACAACGTAATAGGAAAGCCTTTTCCATTTACAAGAGGATGAAACATTCGCACTTTTTAGACACTTGGTCTTGCCCAGCTCTCAGGCTACTAAACCCTCATTCATGGCCAATGTGCAGCTTCCTGGAAACTTAGGCTACTGTGCTGTGGACTCTAAGGTTCACATCTCAGTCTTTTTGGCACTCACAAGTAACATTAATTCAGTTCACACTTGCCTTGAACATTCTTTGACCAAGGTGCAAGAAGGTTAAAGCTACTTGCCTTCTCACCATGCCTAGCTCTCCTTACCCCTTTCTCACGTCCAGAAACCCTTTGCAGTTAGCTTTGCTACACAAGGACTTCTCAAGTGGCATCTCACACCTTGCCATCAGCAATAAATCACTTTCTTCTTCAAAATATGGCTATGCAGCCATTAGGTTTTGACCTATCCTCCTGCTTACGATCCCTTATGAATTTTGACCTATACCAAAAAAGTATACCCTAAAGTAAATTTGAGTAAGCTGAATTAATTGCAGTAAATATTCTGGTTTTGCTTAGCCAGAAATACTAAACTCAACAAAAATAATATTGAACATTATTACTTTTACTTTGCATATAAATTCTTAAATGGAATTGAATGAATTGACAGCGATTTCTTATCAAATTAAATATAAAACCTATGTGTTACTGTCACTGCCTATAAATTCTCTGTTAAATCACCTGGCACTTGCATTTGCAGTAAAAGCAAAGAACATCAGTTATCAATTTATAACAATACGCAATCTCTTCTGACTTTCCTGTTTAGCTTCTACTCACAGTGACAAATCTAAAACAGGTTCTCAGATTAAATCACATTTGAACACAGTAGATACAGAAAGCAGCAGTATATATTAATTTACCAAATAATTCCAGTACCTTAGAATTGCAGAATGAAGGAAGTGTGGACAAAGGTATATTGTAAGTGTCATTATGAATTGAAATACATGGATGTTAAATTTGAGTAGCTTTCCATGGTTCTGCAGCTCTCGCTGCTCTGTGGTTGCCCAGTGATACGTGCATTCTCCTTATTTTCTATCTACTACTAATTATATATTCTGTATGTAATATGTGCATTATATGCATATCCATGTGAAGAAAATAGCTTTTCTTTTAGACAACATTAAGGTTTTATTT